GGCTCCAAGATTGGAACCCGAGCCGGAACCGGTCAAAAAAACGGAGACGGAACCGGTAAAAAACGGTGTCGGAACCGGCAAAAAAAAACGGCAAAACGGAACCAGTAAAAAAACAGCCCTGTCGTTTCCAAGGCCCCCTAAATGTCCCACCAATGTCCCAACTGTGTCCCGTCGGTGTCCCGCGGTGGCCCGTGAACCCGTGGCGCAGTGTCCCGCGGTGTGCCGTGGAGTCGATGGTTAGATCGATAGTGAGATCGACGGTGGCATCGATAGTGGGAATCGATGGTGAGATGTGTTTTTTTCGGTTTCGTGCGTGGTTTTTTCGCCAAATAATCAAGGGTGCTCCTCAAGGGTCCTCGCCGAGAAAAAAAATACGCACGTCCGAGCGATGCCAGGAGATCGATGGTGAGATGGATTGCCATACCAGTAGTGAGATCGCTAGTGAGATCGATACTGAGATCGGTAGGGGGATCGATGCTGGGACCGATAGTGAGATCGATCATGAAATCGATGGTGAGATCGGTGGTGCGATCAGTAAGTAGTGAGACCGATAGTGAGATCGATAATGATGTCGGTGGTCATATCGATAGTGCTTTCGACCGTGCCTTCGATAGCGCTATCGTGAGATCGAATGGGATCGATCATGGGCTTGATCAGGAGATCGATTGCGATATCTGTAGTGGCATCGATGGTGGAATCGATACCGATATTGATTGTGATATCGATAGTGTGATCGGTAGTGCGATTAATGATTATATCGATAGTGATATCGACAATGACATCGATGGTGAGATCGATCAAGAGATCGGCAGTGGGATCGGGATCGATTGTGATATCGATAACGATTGTGTGTATATATATTGCGGGATCGATAGTGTGAGGCATAGTGGGGTCGGAGATGGGTTGTGAGATCGATCGGGTTAGGTCGATTGTGACATCGATGGTAAGATCGATAGTGTTATCAATAGTAAGATCGATAGTGAGATCGTCAGCGAGATCGTCAGTGACGCCCTGGCCAGAAGAGGGTTCATTCCTTTCGCCCGCCCACGCAACTTCGCGTCGCCCGCACGCACGACATTAACACGAAACCGAAACCGATTTCCCGGTGGGGGGCTCTCCGTCTCACTGCGATCTCGCCACCCTTCGGGTGCTAAGGAGATTCGGGAGGAGGCAGGAACCAGCGCGTCACCCAATCAATCTCAAGATCCATCTCACAGTCGACCTTACTCGATAGATCCCACTATCACTTTCACAATCGATCTCACTATCGATCTCACAATCGATCTCACTGTCCCTCTCGCCATCGATCCCACAATCGATCTCACTATCAATCTCAGTCGCAAATGACGTAAACCTCGCCTACATAAACGATGATGCCAGCTTTGGGGGGAGGGGGCTGCGTTCGGATACGACTCAACGGTTGATGCAAACCCAAACTGAAAAAGACACACTATTAATGCGTCACCTTGTTCGTCTCTGTCTCCCTGGGAAAAACAATGTGTTGTGCCGTTGGCGTCCGCCCATTGAAAATATGTCACCTGGTCGTGCCATGTGCGAACGGACAGAAATGTATTTCATGTAACCGTTGATTTACCAAAAAATATTCAAACATCCGTGCTTCGCATGCGTGGTCGAAAACACCTCTACCCGGTCGATGCTCACGATCACTTTCGTTAGGTTGGCATCCGCTATGGGTTGGGTGTAACGCACGCCTGTGTCAGTGCCATGCCAGTCTGGCAAATGACAATTGCGCGGCGTAGCAGCGGCCCGTTAATGCTGTTAATATCGTCGTTCCCACGTTTTAAGCACAAGGCGTCGGGCAACTTCCCTTACTGCATTTTCTACTTGTTGTTAGATTAGCAAATGTGGCATCGGAGAAGATGCATAACATCCTCTCAACACATCCGGGGGATTCCCCAGAGCGACATCATTCGAATGTAGAAGGAAGACACTGGACCCCCCCAGGAACTCAACAGTTCCATTCATACAACTTACATGTTCCGCAGGAATTATCCAAATCCCTTATGGGGCCTGATAAATTCCAAAAACATCCGGCAAGGGTGTGGGGCCTATTGTTGCGAGGATGCCTCCGGCGAAACGGGCCTTATCACTTCGCCCAACGCCCCGAACATATCTTAAGCGAAAACAAGGGCGGTGCACCTCGCGCATGGTCCGAACCAGTAAATCTGTCAGCGATTCCAAACTCTCTGGACGCCGAACTTCCAAGTATGATGCCTCATCGGAAACGAGAGAGAGAGAGAGAGAGGGAAAGCGAGAGAGGGAGAGAGAGAGAGAGAGAGATAGAGAAATAGAGGGAAAGCGAGAGAGAGAGAGCGACACATATAATCATATATGTAGTTCTTATCAAAATAAAACCCTGGTCAGCAGATCGGTGGGGAGAGGCTCGCGACAGTGCCCACCGTGGGCGGACCGCGGCCTCTTGCCGAGCTGCTCGCCTGCCGATCCGAGCATGGCCGAGGACTCGCAAACGACATCTCGGCCTGCCACAGACTGGCCATCGCTCGGACGTCCATTCCCTGTGTTTTTTTCGGTTTCGTGCGTGGTTTTTTCGCCAAATGATCAAGGATGCTCCTCGATGGTCCTCGCCGAAGAAAAAAATGCACACGTCCGAGCGATGCCAAGCAGAACCAGCCCCACGTTCACCCAGAGGGGGAAGGAGGAGGACGGAGAAGCACAAGGATGGAGCATCAACAGGAGGAGAGGGGACAGGTAAGCAGAACGAGGAGTCGGGCCGGGCTTCCAGGGATGAAGAGCGAAGAGCTTGGCAAGCACCGGGGCGAGTCGAAAACGTCCCATTGAGCAGGTATAGGGAAGCGAGGTTGGAGAAGCAAGAGCTTGGCTGGCATCGAACGAGGGTGCTTCCGAGGGACCGAGATCGCACCTCCTTTTACAAATGGGCTGCTCGAACCCATCACATGGTAATGAACCGTGCAGAATAGCCTGTGCATCAGGGTGCAACCGCAGCTGCCAACACAAAATGCAACAGAAAACGCTATGTAGAGGAAAGAATGGGATGACGACACAGAAATGGATAGCAAAATTGGAGGCCCGAAGCGGGTGTACGGAAAATGGGCACGATGTCCAACAACGAGTGTGATCCAGAACCGACAGTGGCAACTTTTGGGCAAACGACTTCTGTCTCGAATGGACAACGCCCGCGGCGACACCAGCAACGAGCCCTGCTCAACATGGGCAACATCTGCTGCCGGTGCGCGTCCCCGTGTCGATCGTCGCGAGAGATGGGGGAGACGGAGGGATGAGGGGGGAGTAAGTGGACAGCTACATAGCATGCACAGGGCGACCTTCACGAATACCTTCGTCATGAAGCGGACTCTGTACCATCAAAGGGTTAACAATTCGCCTCAAAGCTGTCCCACAAAAGAAGCTGGCAAACTGCACCAAGAGTTGCGTAGATCAGAAAATATCCCTACTGGGAATCCTGCTATTGGGACTGCCCGCTGGGGAATGTAATTCTGTCGATGGATCCTCTGGCAGTGTTCAGCAGCGCTCGCATAATCCGCCTGCCTCTACTGGGGCTGCCGAGGCTGAGAATGCCAATTTGTCTCCCCCGTCTCCTTCTACTCCTGCTGCTGCTGCTCCTTGCTCCATCCTGCTCCTGCCCCTCCTCTTCCAGCACCCCCTAATCCTCCTATGAACTAACTGGGCTGCGGACAAACCTGCATCCTGCTGGGTAGCCACCTGGGCCTGCTTGGAACCGCCATTCACGAGACTGTCAAGGATTTTTCAAAGCGGGACCACGGACACCTGATAACACATATCAATCGAGCTCGTGCTTGCGCCAACAGCGCCGCAACAACGCCCACATCATAAATATTGTGTCATTCCGCCAAACTGCACACATCTCCGTGGAAGCTCGGGAACCGCACCGCGACAAATGACGCAGGGCACTTCTCCACCTCCACCTCTCCATTCGTCCTCGACGGTGAACCAAAACAGCCCACCTGCTGCAAACACGCGGGCATCCAGCCTGCCCTTGCACGGCGGATGCTCGCCCTCCTTCTCTTCTGTGACGCGCCTCGGCTTTCTCCCCAATCAGTGCTTGCACTGAAAGGGTCCCAACGGATTTTGAAAAATTTACAGAAAACGCCGAGCCGATTTCGGTGGGCGGCCAAATTCCCGGGTTCCTGGTTCCGGGTTCCCGGGCTCCCGGTTGCTGGTTCTGGACCGACTTCGGTGGGCGGCGGGGTTCCTGGGTTTCCGGGTTCTTGGTCGATCTCCGTATCGATCGGTATCACCATCGATCTCACTACCCACCTCTCTTGATCTCACAATCGATCCCACTATAGATCGCACGATCGATGTCACGATCGATCTCACTATCAATCTCACTGAATCGACTTCACGATCGGGCTCACGATCGACCGTACTATCGTCCTTACTATCGATCCCACCATCGGTCCCATTATCGATCTCACAATCGATTTCAATATCCATATCAAAAAATCAAACCATCCACTGATTGGGTTCCTCTGGTGTAACGTATGAGACAAGCGAAGGAAAACGCGATCGAGCAAAACGAACACTTGATTCGAGATATACCTCCAGAGAATCGTTGATGTCATGGCGATGGGCGGGCTACCCAGTTTAATCCCATCATGTGGCCAATGAGTCATAGTAACCTCGCCTGCGCGTCGATAATTTCCTTGCGACGTGAGATGGTCCTGTGGAGACATGATCAGGGGGTGTCGGCGGGTACGCTGCTGCAGTATCAGCAAGTAATGGGCGCCTTCTTTGGAGGCTGAGCTCAGAAGATCAGAGTGGCAAAATACATAGCTGCGACCTCACGATATAGATAGATCGCTTATCATCATGAGGGCCCCTGGTCGCAAAGCGCAATCGTTCCCTATAACGCGTCTCCTCTAGTATGCTGAACTGACAGATCGCTGTCCTCCCTCATTGCCCTTCCTAATCCTCCTCATCCTTCTCCCCCATCTACTCGATTTCTCCTCCTGCTGTTACTCATGCCTTCTTCTCTCTGCGCAAGCCAAGCTGAGCCGGGCTAAGCCTCACCAGTCTAAACCACTGTGAAACGACCTGGGCTAAATGACTGACGAGAGACGCTGAAGTGGGCGGCCGCGTATCAATATGATACACACAAGGCAAAGGGCGCGGCAGGGTGGGGTCATAGGCACAGCTGAGGCGCTTCGTGTGGGAACGTTGGGGTGGAAGACACGCAAATCATTCATTGGCACCAGCAGCTCTGAACCGGCGCGCTGGCGCGTACCCCAAACAATGAAACTGTTAACCAACCACCGCTTGGGAAACATAACGTCAAACTTTCTATCCGAACACCAGGTAGTATAATGAGAACTCGATCCCATTCGAAACAACTAACTTCAACACAATCGACTCAATGTCAAAATTTACCTCCAGCTCCATCTTGCCGTAAGCATCAGCGTGGCGCTAAACTCTGACCCTTCGGTATATCACTGCAAATCCAACTCTCACAACAAAGTGTCAAACTAACTAGGCGACATTGACTGATCTAGCCGACAAGCGATGTTGAGTGACCAACGCCCCATAGCCCAAAACTTGTCAATTCTCGACTCCACGACTAAGCTGCAACATGAGCCGGGCTCATTCGGTAACCGACGCTGGCGCTAATGGGCAACCGACGGGGCTGGACGGCAATCAGCAGACGGTACCTCCTGGTGCAAACTTTGTGACAAACGGGGGTCAACGGCAACCGACGGGGCAACCGGGGCTACAGCAGGCAAACGTAAGAAAGACCCCCTCCAAACTCATAGCCTTCAACAACTCGGACAAATCGGCCACCTAACAAATCTTCTCCGCAACCGGCAACCCGCACCACCCCACAACCCGCACCCACCAGGACGCTGGGGCTAATGGGCAAACAAGTGTTGGCAAGGGCCAACCCCCAGGTCCGGCAATCGCCAGAACCGAGACCGAAATTCATCGAGCGCAGGCGCTTCTTGGGGAGCTGTCACTGGAGAACATGGTCTCCTCCACTCATCCCCCCGTCGTCCCCCAGCGCTTCCCCCGGGGAGCAATGGCAAGATGGCGAGGCGCTGGGGGAAAAAAGAGACGAAGAATGCTGACGGAGGAAAACGGAAACCAGGACGAGGATGAACAGGATGAGGGGACATATCTCTACTGGAACCATCGCGCGCGTGTCGCGCGCGCTCTCAAGTTCTACTTGCCACGGGGCCTTGCGTATAGCCACAGGGGCCGTCTTGGGCTCCTGGTTTGGAAGCCCACGCGTTTGTGGCTGAGATCGCACTTAGGCTCGGCATTCGCGCTCGGATCAACGTACTCTAAAGTGGCATATTTCTGAGTGCAGGTATCCTCGGGGGCAGGAGCATGACCCTGATACGATGTCACCACCACCACCACCTCGCACAGTGGAGTGGACAATCTTCGGGGTCGGTTCTCGCGAGCGTGAGACGTCCAACAACATGTGTACACTACACGTGCGGCTCCAATACCGTCAAAACGTGCATGACGAACCAGTGGCAAGGACGCAAGGACCCCTGGAGGCCGAAGTCGGGATGTCTGGGGCGGCGGTCGACCAGCGAGACCGGCAAAGGACGGGCCGCGGAGGCAGGGGCACAAAGGGCACCCTGGATGCGGGCGCGCGGCCTTGCTAGGCGCGTTGCCTGCATCCTTCTCCCCTTTCACGAGGGAAAAACACACACACAGACACAATTCATCGTCGATTCCCCAGAAAATATTGGAAAATATGGGAAGTGGGGGGGAAGCCAAAAAACCAGAAAATGTAGGAAAATATTGGGAACATGTTTATTTGTGTGTATTTATTTGTGTGTCCTGGGGCCCCTTCACTCTTCCTGGCCGCGGCGGCCCCCGACGGGCCCCTGGCGCATGGGGGCCATGCGCGCGCGGCGGGGCGCCGGGGGGCCGCGGGGCGCGAGGCCCGCCCGGGGCCCCACGGGCCCCGCGCGCAGGGCCCAGGCCGCACACGGAGGAGATCCCCCCCCTCGCCATCGGTCGGACGTCCATTTCCCGTGCATTTTTCGGTTCCGTTTCGTGCGTATTTTTTTTGCCCAATGGTCAGAGAACGTCCTCACTGGTTCTCGCAGAGAAAAAGTGCACACGTCCGAGCGATGCCAGGCCCCGCCCTATGCTGGAGGGCGCCCGCGGCGGGCGCCCGCGGCGGGCGCCGGCCGAAGCTGGGGCGGGCCCCCCGTGTGGGGGGCCTGGTCGGGGCCCCGGCCGCACAGGGAGCTGGCCATCGCTCGGACGTCCATTCCCTTTTTTTTGGTTTCGTGCGTGGTTTTTATCGCCAAATGATCAAGGATGCTCCTCGATGGTCCCCACCGAGGAAAACATGCACACGTCCGAGCGATGCAAAGGGAAAAGATCCCCCGCGCTGCCAGAGAGAGAGAGGCCGAGCGCCCGCGGCGGGCTTCGGCCCAGGCTTCGGCCAAGCCCGGGTGGGGGCGCGCTCTCGGCCCTCGCGTGCCGCTTCTTGGGGGCCTCCTCGGGGCCTCCCTGGAGCCCGTCCTGGAGCTCCTGTCGGGGCCCCTTGGAACCCTCTTGGGTCCGTCTTGGCACCTCACTCCAGTCCGCTTTTGTGTGGGGGATGTCTGAATCTTGTCTGTTGCACGAGGGTGTTCTCATACGGTAGCGTGTCCCAAGGAAGCACAGTGCAGTCATACCAGTAACCTGGTTAAGTGTTCATGGCGCACCTGCGTTCCAATTGCGAAGACTCGGGCCCGACTCCCTTCATCGCCGTCCTCTTTCCTGATCTATTCCCTCGTCCTCGTCGTCGTCCTGCCACCCATCGCATGGACCACGCCGCATGGAGAACCCCCTCTCACTCTGGCGCGAACTTGGCCAGCAGCGCCAGCATGCAGCAGAAGAGCAAGAGTGAATCCGGCGAACTGCTGTCCTCGGGCCATCCCGGCCGGCGTGCGGCAGGAGGAGGCGCCATGGAAGACAAGGGGGTAAACAGGGAGGGAGGGGAGTGGACAGGGATGGAGGAAATGAAGAAGGACAGGCAGGGGGGAGGGGGGCATGAGGGATGGATAACCAGGGGGATGGATAAGCAGGAAAGGATGAGGATAAGCAGGAAGGATGGATAATCAAGGGGGAAGGGGCATGAGGACGACGGACCGTTTTTTTTTCCAGCACCCAGCGACGCCACTACAGCGAAAACTGCGACAAGTCGCGCCCGAGCGTCGATACACTGATAATTGGTTGGTTGCTGCGCTGGGAGATTCGGCGCGCGAAACCGTGGAAATGAATAGGGAAAGGCTCAAGACGATTTCTCAGGACGGCTGGAGGACCTGCGAGCCTTCTGGGAAGGCCCGCCCCCGAGCCTGCCGCCGAGAGAGGGCAGGCTGCACCGGGCGAGCGCGTGCAAGGCAACACGCCCCAGCGGGTGGGCAAGCGGACCGCCAGGACGGACAATCACACGGGCGTGGCCTCTGCCGCTCCCGCGTGGCCGCCGGGGAAGGGTGCGGGGGCCTTCGGCCACCCCGACCCGGAAGTGAACCTGCTTGGCGAGGGCGGGGGCTCCTGAGCAAGGTGGTGGGCTTTGGGCGGTCGTTCCAACATGCAGAATTTGTTTGGGTATGTTTCGGCTGTTCCAAGTCGAGAGGTGCCGCCCGCCATTGAAACGAATAACAACGAATGTCGCCGATGAATTTTGTTGTGTAGAGCCGTGCGCCTCATTTGAGAATTCCGCATTGTTTCATGTCACCGTACATCGGACATGTCAAACATACCAGACAATAGCAAATACTTAGTCAGCGTGCCCAGCAACGCCAACACGTATAAACACATGTCGACCGAGAGCCAGGCATTCCCAAAATAGCTCCCCTTTCAACAACCAGAATACCAAGATCTGTGGCGAATCGGCGTTTTGGGTGGGCATGGTATCGTGGCAACGTCGAAAACGGTAGACACGAGGATGATCGTACCGATACTTGTGCCGATTATGACAACGACGACGACGGCGCCGATGCGAATAGCGCCGACGACTATGACGGAGTCCTCGCGTCGGTGATGAACGTTATTGGACAAATTCGACATGCGCGCAATCCGACGCGCGAGTGTGGCCCACATGGTATTATTTGTTACGGATCGTGCCCCCCCCCAGCGCGCGCAATGGTGTTCGAATGATTCTGGCATGCGCGCGCGCGAAGCCCGCTTGGCAAAACTCCATGAGCATGTTGAAACACCGATGGTTTTCTTAAGGATTCGCCTGAGCGCGACCGCAAGCTTGTTTGAAAACTGCTGTTGCGAAACCACATGCTTTCATATGGTTTCGGGACCGGAAATCCTTATGGCACCTACGGTTTTTGAGAAATTCCGGCATGCGCGCGCGACGACGCGCGCGCGTGCACGTCGTCACGTCTTGTGCATAACGGATTCTTGCGACGGCATGCGCGCAAATGGCGTTGGAACGATTTCGCCACTCGCGAGCGCGAAGCCCACTTGGTAGCATTTTATGAACATGGCGAAACACATGTTATTTTTTTCAATTCGCAAAAGCGCGCGCTTTTTTGTCTGAGAAGGAAGCACAACCTGGTTGCGAAGCCATGTGTTTTGTGTCTGACTTTTTTTGGCACTCGATTTTGAAACCCTCGCAACACCTCATACATCCATATATATATACATATAAAAAGGATTCGGCTGCGCGCGCGATGACGCGCGCGCATGCACTTCGTCATTTTTGCTGATTGTAAGATTTTTTAAAAGGACAACGGACGGTTTCTGATAAGCGAGTGCGCGCGCAATATATTATCTGACAGGGGTGAGGGGGGGAGATGCCAGGATCGCCGGGGGTGGCAGGAATTCAATCTTAGTGTGGCGGTGGTGCAATCATGTGTGCATTGCAATGCGAAAAGGCGGCTCGTTAACCTGGACGGGGGGGGATATCCTAATTATGTCTTATACAGGAAACTACGCGGTACAATCTACGAGGTACAGTGAACAGTCCATGTGGTGCAATTCACCAAGGCTCAGCTTGAACTTGTCAACTCAACTGCTCGCGCAATCATCCCGCCCACCCACCCGCAACTTGGTTTGTAAAATCCATGTGGAGGAGATTGCGACGAGTGCCTGGTCTTTCTTGGCTGGCGCATCTCTGCGGCTGCGCTAGCCCGATCATGCGCGCGCAGCGGCCAGCTAGTTTAACGTGACCGACGCGGCCGCGGTGGCGCTGACCGCTGGGCACATCCCAACGGGCATTTCACTTCGAGTTGGCGGCTTGGGCGGGCGCGGTATCGTTGCAACGTCGACAAACAGTAGACACGATGGTGATAGTACCGGTGCTGGTGGTGATGTTGGCAACGACGACGGCGCGGCCAGAGGCGGCGCCGACGCTGAGCACGCCGACGATGATGACGGCATCCTCGCGTCGGTGATGGAGGTTCGGGAAAGAGTTCGGCATGCGCGCGCGGTCGACGCGCGAGAATGGTCGGCGTGGTGTAATGTGACGCGGATCGTGCCCCCCCCCAACACGCGCGCAAGGCTGTTCGAATGATCTCGGCATGTGAAAACTGCTGTTGCGAAACCGTTCGATCTGTGTCGGGGAACTCGATTTTGAGATCTTTGCGAAGCCTCGAGTTTTTGAACGGTTCTTTGGGCAGAGAGGATTCTGGCGACAGCACGCGCGCAAAGGCGTTCGAACGACTTCGACATTCGCGCGCGCGAAGCCCGTTTGATAGCGTTTGATGAAAATGTTGAAAGCAAACTTTGGTTTTCTGAAGAATTCTCAAGAGCGCGGGCGCAAACTTTTTGAGCATCCTTCTTGCGAAACCATTTGTTTTCATACGTGTGCAGAACACCCGATTTTGAAAAACCTGCGACGCCGAATGTTTTTGATAGATTTCGGCATGCGCGCGCGGCGATGCGAGCTTGTGCACTTTGGTGATTTTTTCCGAGGGATTATTAAACATTTTGCGATGCTTGATAAACGGGTGTGCGCGCATAATACTATTTGAAAGGGATGGCGGGGTCGATACCGGTCTATATGGGATGCTATGAAGTCATATTTCGGATGGGCGATGTGGCAGAATCATGTGTAGACTGCAATACGACAAGAAGCTGGGGGGGTAGTCGCGGCGACCAGCATCCCTTCCCAACCGACCCCATCCCCCACCCCCGCCCTCCGCGCAGACGGGGCCCCCGAGGCCGCCAGGGCCCCCCCGAACGGCCCAGGAACGCCCCCCCCCCGTTCCAAGTGAAACCCCCAAGACACACCAGGTCCCCCCAAGACCCCTTTGCACTGTACACGGACCAACCTAAAAAAGGCCCCGCAGGGACCCTTTGCAGCCCCAAAGCAGCCACAATTGTCCTCTTCCCCGTCCTCCTTCCCCTCCTCGTCCTCCTCCTCCAACTCCTCCTCTTCTTTTCCTCCTACACGTCCTCCTCCAGTTCAATTTCATTGTCCTTTTCCTCCTCCACCTGCTCCTCTTCCTCCTCCTTCTCCCCCCCCCCCTCTTCCTCCCCCCCCATCCTCTTCATCTGCGTCGGCCCGTCCGCCCCGCGCGTGTGGCTGATGCGATGCGGCCTCGAGGCGGCGCGGGCGACTTCGCGGCGAATCATCAGCGCACCAACCCAATTCCTGAGAAAACAAAAATAAGAACACCGAAACACAATCGTTGCTTGGGGGATATGGAAGTATGCACGCGGCAAGGAGGCGGCGCTGGCGGCAACGTGAAAATCCTCGGCACGCCCACGCAGTTTCCTATTGAGCCAAGTAGCGGAACGCCCGCGCAAACGTCATTTACGAGTGTTCAAGTATGAGCACTGCAGCTAAACCTGCGACGTTTAGATACTGAAATGTAGTAGATGTGAATCCATACGTACCTATCTTTATATACATATATTTGGCGCATGTATATAACTATGATATGTATATATACACACCAACATATTTGGTATTATAAATGAGGCAAATTCCAGTTTTGCCCACACACATATGCACACACACATACCTGCTCCCACTACTACTACTACTACTACTACTACTACTACTACTACTACTACTACTACTACTACTACTACTGCTACTGCTACTACTACTACTACTACTGCTGCTACTACTGCTACTAGTGCTACTGCTACTGCAACTGCAACTGCGACTGCAACTGCAACTACTACTACTACTACTACTACTGCTGCTGCTACTACTACTACTACTACTACTACCACTACTACTACTACCACTACCACTACCTAATCCCCCGCACGCCCACCCAATTCCCTATCACTCCACGTCATAAGACCTGAGCGCAAACGTTGTTGGTGAATCGCCCATGTGTGTCTATGGATACCAAATATGTATAAAACGCTGTTCACGAAACATTTTATTCATATCTGTACATGTTATACGATCGTATGTAGATGACAGCATGCAAGTGATAACGCCGATACTGATCACGCCGGCAAAGCTGACGGCGTCCTCGCGTCGGCGATGAACGTTTAGTGAGGGAAAGAATTCGGCGCAGTGGGAAGGGGTGGGTGTGAGTTGGCGGTGCGCACAAGGGGGTGGAGTGAGGGGGGAAAGCTTCTTAGGAGGCTGCTTCTTAGAAGGCGCTGGCCTTACATCTATAGATAGGGCCCGCGCCTTCTACGAAGCAGGGGTGCTTCTAAGACGCCCTTCCCCCTCCTCCCACACCCCTCTGCACGTGGCTGATATGGCGCCGGCGCGCCTAGCTTGCCCCTGTCTATATCAGAGCGAGGGGCCGGACGGTCATTCAATGTCCCTGGGTGCGTGGCTGAAACGGGCTTCCGCGGTGCGGATTGATGCTGTTGTTGCCGTTGCTGCTGCTGTTGTTTGTTGTTTGTTGTTGTCGTCCCGCCCGCGACCCGGCCCGCGACCCACCGCGCGACGCACCGCGCAACCCGCTCGCGACCCAACCGCGACCCACCGCGCGACGCACCGCGCAACCCGCCCGCGAATTGGCCCGCGACCCACCACGCGACGCATCGCACAACCCGCCCGCGACCCGCCCGCGACCCACCGCACGACCTGGCGCGCCTCATCCGCAACTTTGGGGTGCTACATTCGGCGGTGGACAAACCTCCCTTTAGTAAACCTCCCTTTAGTGAAAACGGCCTAGGACCAAAACCGACGGACCTGGACCCGCAAAAATAACGGCCGTGACGCCCTCTCGCGAACCGAACACGGCCAATTCACTAATCGACGTGTCAGGGTAGGAGGTCTATCCAACCCCGATACATGCTCTTCCCCGCGCTCTCCCTCCCTCCGCCCTCCCTGGGAGGAAGGTGTTGGCAGGCAGCGGCCGCCCAGGGAGAACCCTTTGCCCTCTCACGTCCCTGCTTCCCTGGATCCCTCCCTCATCAAGCCCTTCTCACGTCCAGATCCTCCCCTCCCCGCCCTCCTCCCTGCCCTCCCCCTCTTACCTGTGTCCCTCCCCCTTCGCTTCCTCCATCCCTGCCTCCTCCCCTGTCACCCTGGGCCCTTCCCGACTGGATGCCAGCCTCCTCCCCTGGATACCCCTTCCCCCGGAAATTCCCTGTCGCCGTGTGCTCTGGATTCCAGATCCCCCTTCTCTCCACCGTCATAAGACGCTCATCTCCACCGATTCGGAGTCGTCCCTCAGGATTTCGAGGACCTCTCGATGCGTGATGGCTGTGGACATCTGCCCGCCCCTGCCCACGGACCTGTGCTCTGGGGCAGGGCTGCAGCTGCTGTGGACGTGGACGCTTCCCGACGGAGTACTTCTCTCCCCATCAGATCCCCCCCAGTCCATCAGCGTGTCCACCTGCACACTCTCGTCCTCGGCTGAGCTCCCGCTGCACAGCTGCCTCAAGTCGGGGCCGTGGGAAAGTGTGCGAGGGAGGGACGGATCAGAGAGCCAGCCCTGCCCGAGATCCGTAGGACGACGACGATAGAGGGCCCCTCCTCTGAGGCTCTGAAGCGAGCGGCGGCTGGCGAGCGGCGGCCGGCGGCGCCAGCGGCTGCCGCTGGCCGCTGCCTCGGCATCCGTCCGCAGCGGCGCTGCGAGAGACATCCTCAGGATCCCCGACGTCATGATTTCGCTGCCAACGTTCGGGAGCGGCCAAGAGGGGGGTGTCCAAGAGGGGGGGGGTGCAAATCATGACGGGCGGCATGTGCGCGGCCTAGCGGGGGGGCCAGGGACGCAATGAAACAAGAAGAGGCGCCATGAAATCAGGGGAAATATCATGCCCCCCGCCATGATATCCACCCCCCCCTTGTCATCACCCCCCTCTTTTCCGCCACCGAAACGTGGAACCCCTGAGGTCTCGACCCCTTCCCCGGGACCAACTTCCCGTTCCGAGTCGTTTTTGGGCGGTCCCGGGTCCCGGGGCCGAAACTGTGGAAGGAATAACTGCGTAAGCATAGACTTCGGCAGCGCCCCGCGGAGTTCTTGCAGCGGCGCCAGAGGCGCCGCCAGGGGTGCCCAGCGCCGATCCAAGAAATCTGCGCGGAGCGTGCACATTGCATGTATGCATCGAAAGTGACAAACAAGAATCGTCCATCGTGATTGTGAGCGTTTCCTTATTCGGCGTTTCGACATTGGGCGGAAGGGGGGGGGAGGGGGGGGGTCTGGCTCCGGACCTCTGATTTTTGCAACTGCTTGCAACAGTGCGTCCTCTGGGGGAGGCCCCCATTTGCTCGAAACGGGCGCCAAAAAGAGCCAAGATCTACTCCACGAGGGGTGTGGAAGGGGTGTGAGACCCCGCGCCGATCGGCAAAACATTATGTTGCTCCCATCGTGCTTAAGAACCCATCGTACTTAAAGACCACATCGTACTTAAGGACCACATCCTCATCCTCCTCCCCCTCCTCCGCAGGAGAGCCCATAATCGAATCGATAAGTCGGATCGGCAATCGAAATGAATCGGATCGGCGGAAATCGGCAGCCAAGCCGGGAAAAGTCGAATCGGCGGACATCGGCAGGCAAGTGTGCCTCCAATGAGAAATCGGATCCCAAATCGGAATCCAAGTCGAATCGAATCGATATCGGAACCCATCGAAGTCGAATCGAATCGAATCGGAAGAATCGAAACGAGCCCTGCCTCCGCCTCCTCCGCCTCCTCCTCCTCCTCGCTCTGGCCAAAAGGCTCGAGCTGGCGGAGGAGCCCCGAGAACGCCAACCTGTGGAACGCGCGCAGAGCAGCGAGCCTGGTGACGAGCGCTACCTCCTCGCCGCGGCAGTATGCGGTGAACAGGATGCCCTCGGCCGCGTCCCGCCTGCGCAGCGCAGAGGAGGAGGAGGAGGAGAAGGAGGAGGAGGAGGAGGAGGAGGGGGAGGAGGAGGAGGAGGAGGAGCAGGAGGAGGAGCAGGAGGAGGAGCAGGAGGAGGAGGAGGAGGAGGAGGAGGAGGAGGAGGAGAAGCAGGAGGAGGAGGGGGAGGAGGAGGGGGAGGAGGAGGAGGACGAGGAGGAGGGGGCGGAGGAGGAGGGGGAGGAGAAGGACAACGCCACGGCACGAGGCGCACTCGGAGATGAGGTCCCGGCATGGAGAGGGCCCTCCAATCGGGCGGATGGGAATGGGGAGTGACCTGCGGGGGGGTGAAGACCCGGGCCCTCGAAAGGCAAGTTTTAAGGCCCCTTTTGGAGCCGGCTGGTGCCCAAAAGGGGCGCGACAGGGCCCCCCCTGTAGGGTCTTTTTCTTCACCCTCAATACAGTCGGGGCGTTGTCCTAAGGAACCCTAAATAAGGAACGAGGCCCCTTTTTCCCATAAGTTCAACCTCGATTTCCGATGGAAAACCCCGAGGCAAACTTTGAAACAATCAAGGAATACCGAGCCCCTCCCCAACGAAAAGGGTTCCTTCTTCAGGGCCCCGACTGTACCGTCCGCCCGAAATCCGAGCGGATCCCGGACCCCCGGCCAGCGTTCCATCCTGACGCTGCCGCATCGCCGATGCATCGGCGATGCATCGGGGATGCACCGGCGATGCACCGTCGACATGGGCAATGCATCGGCGACGTCGACGTGAAGAAAATCGGGCTCCACATCGAGCCGCATCGGCGATGCATCGGCGATGCGGCGCGATCCTCCGACCCCATCTACTCCGACCCCATCTGGGAGGCCCAGAAGAGAACACTCCAAGCGGACCCTGGACCCCGGTACAGCCGTGCGGCCGCCCAGGGTCCCCACGGACTCATCATCGCCAGGAGGAGGGAAGAAACGCCAGGAAGAGGAACGAAAAAGGATAATAATAATAATAATAATAATAATAATAATAATAGAGGAACCATGAGAAAATCATGCTACTTCCTTTGATAACAGCACGAATAACAAAGATAATGCTTATACTGAAAAAGCAGAACAATGATAGCAGTACTACTATTATGACTACTAAAATAGTAATATTGGTCAGAAGAAGAAAATTAATAATAATGGTAACAATAATAGTAATAATAATAACAACAATACCAATACTAATCATACTAATAATAATAGTAATAATAAAAAATAATAATAATAATAAGAATACTATTCATAATAATACGAATAAAAATAAAAAAAACGAACTTATTAAGGATAGTGAACATACGGATAATAATACTAATAATAAGGACAACACTACGAATAAGAAGAAGAAACAGAGTAGCAACGCCATAGACATAAACTTTTGGCGCTCCGCGCGGACTTCTTGGATCTGCGCTGGACCCCTCTCCTGGGGGCGGAACCCACCGTAACGCTGGGCACACCGGGCGGCGCCTATGGCGCCGCCTCTGGCGCCGCCCCTGGCGCGCCAGGGGCGGGGGGAGCGCAATTTCGAAGACCCGAAGACCCGAATTTCGGGTTGGGGGGGTACTGGCTTCATGTGTTTTTTTTTTTACAGTCCCCGAACCCCCCCAACTAGAAATGGAGGGCAAATCGGGGCCTTCGGGTTGGGTTGGGGTGGTTTGGTGGGCGGTGAGGAGTGAGGCCCAGCGCAGATCCAAGAAATCCGCGCGGAACGCCAAAAGGTTTTTATGTCTATGACACTCTCTTTTCTTCTCCGAATCACGGCGCGGTCGCCGCACCGTTGGGGGCCCCCCCGGTCTTCCTCCCGAGCTGCCCCTCGACGGCCCTGGGTCCCAGGAGGGGCCCCGCGAGGGCGAGAGCGACAAAAAACCCAGAGCGAAGAGAGGGAGGAGGAGGAGGAGCAGGAGGAGGAGGAGGAGGAGGAGGAGCAGGAGGAGGAGGAGGAGCAGGAGGAGGAGGAGCAGGAGGAGGAGGAGGAGGATGAGGAGGACCAGTGTAAACCGAAGGGTCATAAACGATGTTGGAGTAAACCCTTCCTCCAAGCTCCCTCTTCATAGGTCCCTACATCGGTTCATTTCCATTGATGAACTGTCTCATTGGAAGACACCCGTCTGAAGACCCTGAAGCATGCCAAAACATCGTTCTCGGGATTCCGAAACCACGGATCAACCTGACTGCTGCGTCTCGACCATCCTGGACATGCCAGAACGCCGTTCCTAGGATTTCAACACCCGAATGTGCGCGGCGCTAAGGCGAGAGACACTTTTGGAAAATCACCCGCCCTCCATCAGTGAAACTGTTGTCATTTTTTCAGCTTCAGAGCCAGACATGGTCAGGAAGTCTCTGTCTAGAGGCTATTTGTAAGAAAAAAGAATGGAGGAGGAGGAGCAGGAGGAGGAGGAGGAGGAGCAGGAGGAGAAGGAGGAGGAGGAGGAGGAAGAGGGAGGAGGAGGAGGCGTCCACACGGAGGCCTGGAGGCCCGCAGCCCGAGGAAAGAAGTGGAGTGGAAGCCGCAGGCCCGTGCGCGCGGGTGGGCCCGCCGGCGGCGAGGTTCGTCGCCCTTGGCGAGGTCCGCCGGGGGAAGGGAGACACGTTTTTGAATTCAAAACAAATGGTTTTTGAATTCGAGAAACTATTTTTTCAATAAAATCAGCGGCAGGAAACGGCTTCTGAATTTAAAAACCAGTTGACGGGTTTTTGAGTTCGAAACCTGGTTCTTTGATAATTCAATAACCAGGCGGCAAGAGGCGGCGTCTGCGCAGCGACGCGCCAGGGATTGGGTCCCTCGCGTCTCCTGTCTTGGTGGTTCAAAGCTGGGATCCCGAGGGATGGGGGCCCAAGGACAGGGCACCTCAAACCATGCAGATCCACCCTTGCATCCCTTCTTGCCCTCAGGGCACAATCCCGCAGGAGCCCATCTTTGAATCTTCCTCTTCGCGGCGAACCCTCAGAGGCAACCGTTCCCTCACGCCTCCTGCAGGTGCTCCGACCAGTGTCGCCGCTCGTGCTGCTGCTGCCGCTTCTGGTCTGCCAGCGCGGCATGGCCAGGACAGTGGTCACTGTCCGCCGCCGCGCCCCCTGGCGCGCCAGGACGTGGCTTCGGTCTGCCTGGTGGAATTTCGGGGACTTTACTTGCTCGGCTTCCCTCTCGTCACGACAGCGCCGAGCCATGTGCCCCCCTCTCCCCTCCCGCCCAAGGGGATCCCCGAGAGCTCCGACCGACTCCCTGGCGTTCAACGAGGCCTCCAAGATGCCGAAGACACCTTCCGGGACGGCCAGACAAGGTCTCGACGCGGCGGGGCGTTGCCCCCAGACTACACGTGATTTTTGCCCGCTTGGGGGCCTTGGGGATCTCCTCGTGGCCACTGGTGGACACAGCTCGAAACGCCTGGCCAAGATGGTTTCTACGAGAGAGGCCTTCCAAATGAGGTGCGAGTAGATGGGTCGAAGGATCGCGCCGCTTCGACGACACATCGGCGATGCATCGTCGACGTCGGGAATGCATCGGCAAAGTCGACGTGAAGCAAAGCGGGAGTCTCATCGAGCCGCATCGCCGATGCATCGCCGATGCGTAACGATCCTTCGACGCATACTCGGACCCCGAGAGCCCGTGGGGACTTCCAAGAACGGAGATCGTCGAGCTCCCTGTCCTGCCGCAGACACACCTCCAGTGCACTCAACCAGCTATCTGACTCCAGCAGGAGCGAGGAGGAAGAGGACGAGGACCAGCGTAAACGCAAGATGCATCAACGACGCTGCCATTCACCCTCCCGTCCCGAACTACTTCCTCATGGATCCCTCCGAGCATTCCTTTCCAATACGGGAAGCGCCCAAAAGAAGGGCCTGCCAATCAAGCGGGGGCCGGTAAACGTTTGCCATGATCCGCCATCGTACCGCGTGGCATTGAGTGGCGTGGTCTCAGGCCCCTTCGGATTTAATGTGACAAGCATTGCCAACACGCACCAGGGGGCTCAGACCCACGAGTTCTGGGCGCTTCCAGTCGCTCCCAGGCGCGTTCAGAGTGGTAATTCTCGAGGCCTTGGGAGCGCGCGTGGGAATCGACACTTCCCACGTACCCTACGATGGCCCCAAGGGACCGTCCTGGGGTTGGGGGCCTCTTAGCCCGTCTTGGAGGTCCTCGAAGCTGGCCAAGACGCCAACATCCTTGAGCAACTTTGATTCTTTCGAGCACTCGCCTATTCAGTTTTCAGAACACCCAAGACGACCCAAGAGGCCCTCAAGCGAGCCACAAGATGGCCTAAGAGGTCTCCGAAAAGGGCCCAAGAGGCTCCCTATGAGGGGGAGAACGAACTGTCAATCCGAGTTCTTTTTTCCCCCAAGATGGCCCTCGAGACTGACAGCCTACGGTCCCCCAAGAGGCCCGAAGAGACCTTCAAGAGGCCTTCAAGAGGGCTCCAAGAGGCCTTCAACGGGCTCCTCAAGAGGCCTCAAGAGACCCCTTGTCCACGACCTAGGCGCGCTGGCGGGATGGGCGGAAGGCCACTGAGGACAGCACGACCCATCCCCACCCCCGCCAGGACCCCCACTCCCGACCTGGTGATCCGGGGGGTCCTGGATGGGGTGGGGGTAATCTTTTGGGGCTCTCGGGGGTAAGCAAAAACACCTCCACCCCCAGCCCATCCCCGTGCCTGGTTGTTTTCGGGCCATACCTTGGCTCTCCAGCGGCCGTCTGTGACGACTCTGGCAACCCTGAAGCCAGCAAACCGCCGAGGAGTGGCGAATGGGGGTTGATGCGTACCCTCCTGAGCCTAATCTCGAGGACCACCAAGGGGAGGGGACCCTGAGGGAGGGGCGAGTTCGATCCGCTGGTGCATCGACTCTCCGTAAAACGATGCTCCCCCGCGCGTCCCGATTGTCGACACCTCTCGGGTTCCGGCGGCGGCCGGAGACCACGTTTTGCATAGTTCTTTCTGCGGTTCGATGCGTTCAACGGACCGAACTCCCCCCCCCCTGTGCCCTCCCCCCCTTTGCGAAGTCCCGACGCCGTTACAAAAATTTGGAAGACCCCGCTCGGATTCCAACATGGAGGTGGGAATCTTATAGGAAGGGCAGATTCAAGCCAGAGGAGCCCAATTACTGACTTGAAGTGCGGGCCCCACAGGGAGGGGGGCCCCCGCCAGAGACATCTTGACGATTTGCCCCCTTGTGATGCGTCCCCCTCTCCAACGCTGCCCCTGATCCCCCGCCCTGCGCAGAGGAAGACCCGTGGTGCTGCACGCACTCCTCGTGCGGCGAGCAGGCGGACGGCCCCGGCGCCTCTCGACGTCCCAGGAGACGTGGCCGGGCCGCTGGATCTTCCACTTCCCCGCGGAGCTCTCCACCTCGGCGCAGACGAAGCCCGGACAAAAAGAAACTTCGGGTGCGGCTAGATCGAGGGTCTCCGAGATCCGGCGGCTCCGGAGGACGTACCGAATGTCACGGCCTTCCCCGAGCGTTCCAGAACGCTCTCTGAGAGCGTTCTGGAACGCTCTGTGCTTCATGTGTGTCCTCGTCCTGGCCCGTCCGATCGGCGCCCCTCCGCGCAGAAGCACCGAGGACCGAGGCCTCTGGGCGTCTCCCCAGGCAACTGACGCGACGACTTCCTTCCCCCGCTCGGCCCCAGAGCTCCCGACCGGCCGAAATCGAGGATCGACGCCCCGCGGGAACATTCGTGCCATTGGAGATCTCTGGGTCCTCTGCCCTCTCTGTGGGCACAACCGGCGCCCTCCACCGTGGGACCTCGGGAGACATGCCGAGGGCAACGCCTCACACGAGCCACGGCTTGGCACGCCCGAAGGGGGCACAGTTGGACCGAAGGATGAGATCGAGGTTGGCTCGTGGAGGGTACTCTAAGAATGTTCTTCATGTTTGTTGGATGTTCCGTGTCTTGGCCGGCGGAGGGCCCCCCTGCTCTTGGAGGATACTCATCTCTGGCTTACAGATCCAACGGTCCGGAAGACGATGGGGCACGATGCCCAACAACACATGCTGTCCGGAACCGACAGCGGCCGCTGATGGGCGGCCTTCTGTGAAGGGGCCCCAGGACACACAAATAAATACACACAAATAAACAGATTTCCGATATTTTCCCATATTTTCTGGGTTTTTGACTTCCCCCCACTTCCCATAATTTCCTATATTTTCGTGGGAATCGACGATTAATTGTGCCTGTGTGTTTCTTTCCCTCCTGAAACACACGCTGTCCGGAACCGTCAGCGGCCGCTGATGGGCGGCCTTTTGTCTCGAATGGACAACGCCCGCAGCGTCACCGACAGCGACGCCTGTTCAAACTCCTCCTCCTCCTCCTCCTCCTCCTCCTCCTCCTCCTCCTCCCCCCTCCTGCTGTCGGCCTTCGCACCCCTTCCCTTCGTGCCCTTCTCGATCGCACCGATCGGTCTGGACACGCCCGTCGCCCTCCGGTCGGGTGCTGCTAGAATTCGGTCCGGCATGCCCTCCTACAGGCGGATTCTGGAAGAAAAATGTAACTAATCATAAATACAAGATAAATAATGGACATCGTCCCCTGACTATTTTTTGGGATTGATTTTGAATGCTCCTCCTGTAGGGGGACATGCCCGCCTTAACGCTAGAAGCACCCCTGGCCAAAGGTGGCCCGGGCCCCCAGGGGCTCCAAAATGGAGCGCGGAAAGCTGGGGGCACCCTGGGCCAGGGGCACCTTTAACAACCCCCAGAGCCAGACACAGAAACTTTGAGCGCTCCGCGAGGCTTTCTTGGATCCGCGCTGGGCCCCCGCTGGCGGCGCCTCCGGCGCCGCCCCTGGAGCGCTCCGCGCGCCAGGGAGGGGGGTTCAGCGCAGATCCAAAAAATCCGCACGGAGCGCCAACATTTTACAGTCGGGGCGTTGACCTAAGAACCCTAAATAAGGAACGAGGCCCCTTTTTTTCCATAAGTTCAACTTCGATTTCCTATCGAGAACATAGGAAAACCTGAGGCAAGCTGTGAAACACTTACGGAACGCGGAGCCCCTCCCCAACGAAAAGGGTTCCTTCTTCAGGGCCCCGACTGTATGTTCATGACTGTTCTTCTTCTTCGGAGCACGCGGGAAGCGGGTCGTGCAGGAACCGGGCCCTGGAGCCTGGGGCCTTGAAGGCAAGTTCGTGTCGTGTCGACCAAGGCGTTGCTTCCTGACACCGCGGGGATCGTTCAACCTTGAACGATCGGCCGCTCCCGCAACGTCCGATCGTTCAACATCGACCGATTCCGGGTCGGCGGCGGCCTTCAGTGTTGAACGCCGGCGGCGGGGTCGCCGCCGGTCGACACGACGCGAAGCTACCGTACCCCTGGACGAGATCTGCATCCCGAGTCGTTCACTGACAGTCCAGGGGCCCGTGGATGGCCCCGAGCGAGCCGAAGACGGCGGAGGACCTCAGGACCCGTTTCCCTCAGGACCTGTTTCCCCCCTGGCGAGATCTGCAGAGGTGGGGCGTCGCTTCAGGGGGTGGCGATCAGCGGGGGGGGGAAAGAAGGGTGCGCTCTTCGGACCCCACAGGCCCCCCTTGGGACCCTGAAGGGCCTCTTGGCCCTCCAAGGGCCCCTTTTCTGCAGCCCTCGCTGCCCCCCCCATTTTAGGGTAACAAAGGATGACATAGTAAAGATAACAACTCGGAGGTCCGTGCGGATTTCTCGGATCGGCGTTGGACCCCCCTCCCTGGCGCGCGGAGCGCGCCAAGGGCGGCGCTGGGGGGGCCGCCGGGGGGGTCTAGCGCCGGTCCGTGAAATCCGCGTGAACCTCCGAGTTCTTATGTATATGCCACTCTTCGGTCCCCGACATTTATCGCTCTCACCCACGAAGCTCGGGCTGGGCGAAAGGGGGGGATAGCAAAGGGGGGTTTGAGAATCAGCTCACGTAGCTGATTTTCCCAGCGCCTCCCGGCGCCGGAGGCGCCCATGTATCGAGGACTGGGCGCCTCGGTGGGGCCGAAACCAGCTGCATGCGTCAGATTTCGTACCCCCCTTTCCCGATCCCCCCCTTTCGTCCGGCCCGACTGGAACCCCCCGCCAACTGAATGGAACTGGCGAGCCCCCCAGGGGCTCCGCTTCCGTGCCGCACGCGAGGCTCGCCGCGCCACTAACTAAGCGCGCAGACAGCACAGCAGCGCGCGCAAGGACGCGCGGCCGCGGCTCCGGCGCAGCGTGCGCGCGGGGCGGCCCTGCCCCGCCCGCTCGCAGGCGGTCGCACCGACGCCACGGGCGTGCGCGCCCAGCGGCATTTGCCTCAGAACGGGAACTCGGAGTACAGCGGAGGCCAGTCCACAAGAAACGCAACCCTGAGACCCCCTGACGTCCATTGACTTCTGGTGTGGGATGATGTTGCTCCCATCGCACTTGAGGACCACATCCCAGAAATAATTTCGAGCACCCGGAAATGTGTCAAAAGAGTGTCGAAACAGTGTCGGGCGAGTGCCTCCCAGGGCCCGACATGTGAAAACCTTGAGTTTCTGGGTACTGTTTCGGGCGCTCGAAATTCCTTCTTGTGGTCAAGGCTAAAGTAGGTTGGAGCATCATAAGTGTAGGAACGTCGCGCTCTCCACAGCAAAACCATCGGAACCCAAGATACCCGGGGCACCCTGGAGGCGAGCTGGGTGTCTCTTGGCATGGGCCTCCACTGCACTGCATACCTGGCGTGCTCCTGCTTCCCCCCCCCCCTGGACTGGCTTCCTGGCTGGGCCTGGCCAGAGCGGCATACACGCCGAGCCCAGGCCGAGGAGCGGCCTGGCCAGGGTCGGTGCCAGTGCACAGCTGACGCCCTCCAGAGCAGGTGCACCTTTCGCGCACCGTCGGGGCCCCTCTGGGTCCCCTCTCCTGCAGCCCCCGATCTCCCAGGAGAGCCCAGAATCGAATCGACAAGTCGGGTCGGCGATCGAGATGAATCGGATCGGCGGAACTCGGCAGCCGAGCCAGGAGAAGCCAAGTCGGCGGAAATCGGCAGGCCAGTGTGCCTCCAACAAGGAATCGTAGCCCACATCGGAATCCGAAATCGATTCGAATCGGCATCCATCGAAGTCGAATCGAATCGGAGGAATCGACATGAACCCTGAACCCTGATCCCCCCAAATTAATGTATTGCCCCCCGCCCGCGAATTGCATGGTTTCCCCCGGGGCAGTAGGCGACCCGAGGAGGGAATGGGAATGGTCAAATCGCGAAGCGAAAAAGGATTAATTAAGGAGGGATGAGGCCTCTGGCTCGTTGCTCCGACAACGACAGAAGCTTTGGCCAGAGCCCATCCTCGATCCTGTTTAAATAATCTTGTCGGGGCTTGTTGGTCCTATGAGTACACTCGGATGCAAGCCCTCGGATTTGGTCAGAGGCATAATATCCGCACACTCCGCAAAACCAGAGTTTCAAGCTAGTGTGAAACCTGAGATTGTGAGTCGAATGCAGCCACCCCCCCGCCCTATGGACTTTACACCCCGAGGGTATTCTTGAAACAACACCGTCTACAGACTGCAGCTCAAAACACGGCGACTTCAACCAATCAGCGAGGCATTTTTTCGACGCGGACCCTTTGCATCTCACACGTTGGCGCCCCGAGTCATCCAAGATATGCGTGGTACAGAAACGAGCCACAATGATGGGGGCAGGCGGAATGGTACGAAGTTTTTTCCGACTCCCGACGAGGCCTGGGATCCGCGGCCATGGCGTCCATCGTGGCCCTCAATAGCCGACGCCTGACCAACTCCGCTCTTTTCTCCTGCTGCGCGACACGTGTGCGTTCTGCTTGTGGAACACGATGTGCCTCCGCTGCTCGTCCTGCCAACTGATCTGCTCGATTGTTGCCGTGCCACATCCACGGCGCATATCCTCTCTCTGCAGCTTCAACTTCCGACAAGTGTGAATTCATGAAAATGACAGAGACTCGGCCGTGTCGATCTCCGTCGGCATGCAAGTGTTGACCGATGGCGCTCCACAAGTCAACATCTGAATTGGCCTCACGTGGGCGAAGATAAGTGCGGCTTGTCCACCCTTTCTCCACCCCCTCGTTGTCTGTGAGATATATGACAGCGCCCCGAGTGCATCGCAAGACATACTCCAGCACCGCCAACTCGCCTCTGTAAACCGTCTGCCTCCGCCCCTGCAAGGGTCCCTGCGCTTCGAGCCCAAGCCTGACGGGGTTCCGCTGCTCCACGATGACGAAGCCCAGGCCCACTCGCCTCAACTTGGGTGAATGAGTGTCTGCACCACCGCTAGCGTCACCACATACGTACACTGGGTTGTCGTCAGTGCCCTCTGCCATGATGAGGCCACTGCTCCAGGGCACTGAGATTGTATGCAAAGGTTGAGCGGGCGTGGGGTTCGGCACATGCCTGAGCTCCGAAGGCCGGTACTGCACACCTCCTTCGTCTGCCTGGGGCAAGAAGGGAAGTGCACAATGCGTGCCTACGGAGTCAACTGTCCAACTCTCTGCTGCAGCTGGTGGACTTACTGCAGTCCACGAACTTGGCAACAGCCCACGCAGCCAAAAACATTCGTACTGCTCATGCTGGCTGACCGCCTGCGGCGTATACTGGTCCGAGTCGCGATGCGCTTGGTGGCCTGTGTTCTGGGGACATAGCCAGCCGCGATGCAGAGGTGACTCGGGGTACCTCTCACCGTGCAGCAAGCACCTGGGGCACAACTTGAACTCTTGGTCGTCTACCTCGAAGCGTGTCCGAGGCCAAGTACCCCCAGTCGCCACTGCCAGCATGGTTTCAGCCCATTGTGCCCCCTTAGGTACCTGCCCGAGTCGGCTCAGCAAGGCTCGGAGAGAGTCATTGTCTATGCCCTCAGCCATGCCCTCGCCAAGATAGTGTGCCGCAGCCTGCTGCCATAGAACTTCCCTGGCCGAAGTGGAAAGATCTGCAAGAATATCGCTGAAATCTTCATTGCCCGTCAGCTCGTCAACATTGAAATGCCATTCGATCTGCTCACGACCTTCACCGCGTGAGAGTCGCCAATGCGATGGTGATATCGGCTCCCAATGATACTGCAGAAGTGTCACAATCACCGCGCTGACTGGCCCACGAACATGGCGAGTCCTCTCGGCGCTGGTGAGTGCCTCCATCTTGCTGACAATGTCGGGCCAAACTTTATCGATGGAGCTGCGGATAGCACTGTTCGTAGTCCAGAGTCGCAACCATTCGCTCAGGCATTCCTTGCTCAAGCGGATTGCTGGGTCTTGCTCGGGTGCGCGCACATCGAGCGTCGTGGTCAAACAACGACCCCGACGATTCGACCCACATACTGACCCCAGTCTGCGTCGAAGGTGACTACGCTCTGTGCCGAACATCCCGTGAATCTGATGTCCGTAGTGTGCCACCGTCTGTCCTGCCACTTTCTCCAAAGTAGCTGTCACCGCATATTGTCTACTTGCTCTCGCCCATCGTGAGATCTTACGATGGCGCCCTGCAGCTTTGACAACTCGACCTCGCCGTGTCATGCGTGCTGCTCTACGCCCAGCCGCAAGATCCACGCCAAGATATGCTGCTTGCAGGACTGGTCGTAGAGAATATCCTCGCCGTCGAAGAGCTGCTGTGATCGCCTTTGCCTGCTGATGCTTCGCTGCAATCAGAACACTCTTGGAAGCGACCGATAGTTGCTCCTCTGCAAGAAAATTAAATGTGTCTGCCACACCTTTGACCAACTTACGAAAAACAAACTTCTCAGATCCAACTGCTGATTCACTCAAATCATCAATCCAGAGTCGAACGTGTAGCCCTGGGTTCCCTTCGGTAAGCTTTTTCATCACGAAATGCGCCGCGCACTTACCGAAGCGTGTCCCGTTCCTGAGGCCCTGGATGATCGATCTTGCCACCTGGAATGGGCAGCACGTAGACCCGAGTTGTGTCATCATTCTTGGTGCCGTGCAGAGCTGGAGCTCTAAAAACAGGATGGCTGGGGGGAAATTCAACTTAAGTGCTGCATATACCAGGCATGCCCAGGTGACAGCGTCATAAAAGGACTGGATGTCTAAGATGGCGTGTGCGTATGAAACCCCCAGCACCCCGTAGATTTCCTCGTAGACAGTCTTGAGGAAGGCCTCGCGCAGTGCTGAATTTCCTGCCAACGCTGCATCCCAACTTTCACTAGACTCAACTGTCCATGGCTTCATGATGTCTTCACGGATCATCGACCAAATTCTACACGTCATACATATGATGCCTATTACTCGATCGCCTTGGGCCTTTTTGGGCAGAAGGCGGCCCTCGACGATGAGCAGTTGCCACGGCCACGTCAACTGATCTCCCACCTGATTATAAAAGTCCACCAGCTCTGCCCTCGCCGACAGCGGGAGCCTCTGGACATCCAAGGGAGTGAGTCTGTCCACCCCGAGCCCAGCGCGAGGCTTCATTCGCCTCACAGCCCTGTCCAGCTGGCCCACCTCGATCGGCGGGAGCGCGGTCGTCAACGACTCTTCACGAATCCTCTGAAACAGTTGTATCGTGCCGTCGACATCAACCTGCTCTGGCGCCCATAGCCTATGCCAGTGCTGCACCTTGTGGTCCACGACATCGACAGGATGGTATAATGTGTCGCCGCTCTTGGTGGTGAGTTGGTCCACCGTCAGCGGCGTCTCACGTAAGCTCCTAAAGAGAGCTCCTTTCGCCTCTGCCGTCGTGACCCAAGTCCGAAATTCTGAAAGCGATTCGCACAGGGCTCGACTCTGGGCCCTCTTGGCAAGCCTAAAGGCGGCTTGCTCGAAATACGATAAAATATTGACCGATGCCTTACTGATGTTTGAAAGAGCGCCAACCCAAGTATCCCAGGACGGATCGGCTTCTCTCAGAACGCGTGCTACTCCTTCAGGAAAGGTAGTGGCTAGCCTCCAGCACGCGCGCTGCAAATGTTGCTGTTGCACCTCGCCGTTGTTTTTCTGCCGATGTTTCAACAACTGTTGGACGACTGTATGTGTCTGCAGCCACCACCCAGCAATAGAGTCACGTATAGGTACCGCTCGAACTTTGGCGGGCACGTGCAACTCCTTGACACGCAAGGTGGGGCCCTTGGCGCGACCACAGGATGCTGCCACCGCTCGCGGCAGCTCGTTCTCACCTGGCCTGTGGTGCGCCAAAATCGTCCGCTCCACTGCCGAGACCCACGTCGCGTAGGCAGAACTGACAGCGAGCACTGGCTTGATCCTTCCAGCCAAAACGGCTACTGACTGCGCAATGGGAGGCCAGATAAGATGCTCGTATTGCCTGACGGTGCCAACAGCGGTTCGCTCGGACATCCATGTACTCTCAGGAATATCGAAGGTGGGCCCTCCAGACCCCCCTTGGAGAATATTACCTACCGAGACCTCGGGGGGGCACTCCAAGAGGGGGTCGGGTGTGGCTTTAAACTGCATTCCTGCGACATTATCCGAATTGTTAAATGGGGCCTCTGTGCTGGCTGCTGAGGGCGGCCCAGGATGGGGGGGGGAGGGCCCAGCAACAGCAGCAGGAGGAGCAGCGGAGGGAGGCGAAGAGGGGTCCCGCACGATTGTATGCAACATCTGCGCGGACGTGGGGTTCGGCACATGCCTGAACTCCGACTCTTGCGCCCAAGGATCCTCCTCTGGGTCGGATTCCCATCCCTCGGCCGTCTCGCCCAGCAGCAGCAGGTCCAGATCTTCGGGGGGCTCTTCGTGAGGCTCTGTGGTCTCAGGCTCCTCCCCAAAAAGTGCAGTATAGAGTGAAACCCTACGCTCATGTGCCTCACGTTTCTTCTCAGCTAGCTTCTTACGTGACTCAGACGATTTGGACCCTGGCGTTGCCTCACACTTAGGTCTGCCAACCTGAGGTAACCTGGCGGGAAGCTCCAGAGCCCTGACCAAAAGCTGAGCCCCTGAGCCTCTGATACGAATATGAAAGCCTATGTGCGTCTTCCAGGGGACCTGCACGACAGGGGTGATGGAGATGAGGCGAGGGAGACAATGGTTACTCGCCACGGCATAATCGATCAGAGATCCCGATGCTCCTGCCGTGCACGTCGTGACGAGGTCTCCTGTGTAGAGCCTCCCTCCAAGTGACGAAAAGAAATCTGTCCGTGCAAGTGTGGCCGCTGGAACGTTGAAGTCCCCGACGATGAGCCAGGGCAGCTGCAAGGCTCGAACGAGTCCTGAGCTTGTGATAGCGCACCAAATTGTCGCCAGTCAGTCCTAATGAGGACAGGCCATAAAACACTATGACCACCAGGCTGAACCCCTTGAGGTGCACCACCGTCGCGCAGAAGCCATCTCGTGCACTGCCCCGTCGTGCTCGAAAACCTTGATGTTGCGCTGCACTCAACGCATGAACTTGCCTGTGACCTGAGGTGAGGAACCATTCGCCGCCCTCGTTGGCCCTGCCCTCCATGTCCTGGGACTGGGCGTGGCCTGAGGGCCTGGCTCCGTTCGCAATCAACTTCATGCCGATCGCCTGTGCCTCCTTGTGCCATTGCCGTAGAGCATCCGCTGCCACGTGCGTTTCCACGAAGGCCCAGAACTGATGCTTGTCGGCGTTCTCAGAGAGGTAGGTCCAGGCTTGTGACGTCTTGGCTGACGTCCCCATACTAGTGATGTTCGCGAAAAAAAGACTGCACTCTTCGCCAGCAGCTGAGTCGCTCCCTAGTGGAGCAGCGGCTGTGCCAGTGTGGTTGGCTCCTTCCTGCGCCTGACTGTCGGTCGTGCTGTCGGCCTCCGTCACCGCAGCCTGGGGCCCTGCAGAACGTGAAGTAGAAGACGGCGAAGTCTGGCTCCCTGTCGAGGTACCCGATACCTGCACACTGGAGCCTCTCGCCGTAGTAGAACTCGTGAAACTGGCAGGCACATCGCACTGTGGCTCTGGTGGAACAGTAGCTATGCTCGCCTGGAGGGTCTCCGCGATGCTGATCTTCTGGAAGATCGCGTCGAAGAGGTTCAAAACCTTGGCGCTGGAGATGGCGCCGGTTTGCGCCGAGGCATCCCTCTCCACGGTCGTGGGGGGCCTCGGCTGCACTTCTCACTTGCCACCAGCTCCGCCGCCCTTGCCGCGGGAGGCCCTGGTGCCCTTGCCGATCTTGGTGTTGCCGACCTTGGAGTCCGTGCCGCCGCCCACCGACAGAAGCGCCTGGGCTTCGGCCGTGGCTGCTGCTTGCGCCTCCGCAAGCTTGCGGGCCGAGATGGCCGCAGCTGCCGCGGCGACGGCTGGGTCGCTGGACTCGGGGGCGGAGGCGACGGCGGCATCGGCTGTGGCTGGCGAGCCGCCTGACGCTGCCGCAGCGTCGCTGCCTGGCGTGGTCGCCTGGCTTGCGCCGCCGCCACCGCCCGCCTGAGCCTCGTCCGCCCCGTCCGTCGGCTGCTTGTCCTCGTCGGCCTCGGTCTTGCGCTTCTTGCCGACGCGCACGTGGATCGTCTCGTGGAGCTCCTTGGCCCTCGCGATCCTGGATTTCACGTCTTCAGATTTGGACGCCAGCTGGGACTTGTATTGTTGGAGTTCGGCGTGGATCTTCATCAAGTCGTCCTTCTCGGCCGTCTCTATGCCCTCTAGCTGGTCCAGGTCTTTGAATAGATCTTCGTCCCACACGATGTCGAAAGCGGCCTGCGAGGTGGACTGCTCAGGTTGCTCTGCTGAGCCCCTGACCTCGCGAGCGAAGGCTGCAATGGCTTGCTTCCGCTCCAAATCCGCTTGTGCCAATGTCAGTGCTGCCTCGGCCTCCCGCTGCTTGGCCCTGTCGAGGTTGGCCTGACAGCGAACGACGGCAGCCACTGCCTGATCATGTTTCGCATTGGCGTCTCTCCACTGGCCTGAAACGCGCCTAAGTGCGTCTTCGGCCGTGGACGCCCTGCTGGTCACCACGGAGGGGTTGAGCTGGGCCTGCAGCACCTTGGTCACCTGGGCGAGCTGAGGTGCTGCAACAGAAGTGGCCAAGCCCTTGATGAGCCCTTCCACGATCGCCTGCGTCTGATGCTGCTGCGCCGCCTGGTCGTGTACTCCACGTCCAGGCTTGTGCAAGGTGTTGCCGTCACTCTCGTAGAGCTTGACATTGCCTCCACACTTGGCACAGCGACATTGTCGACCTCGAAGACTCTTGTTCCAATCCCAGGCGCCACAGGAGCCGCATTTGGACCACTGCTGCGCTTGCTGTCCTCGGGTCATCACGTAGCCTGTGTCTTTGCACTGTCTGGCCAACCGCTGTCTGTGAACTCTGGTCGCTCGCAGAGAGTCGGTGCTCCTCAAGCACTCCGAGAAAGTACGGTGCTGGACTGAGTACCTGCCTCACGCACGGGGGCGCAAGGGCTTGGTGCTCGAGCCCAAATTGCTTGAGTAGGCGACCCGAGGAGGAGGAGGAGGAGAAGGAGGAGGAAAGGAAAGGAAAGGAAAGGAAAGGAAAGGAAAGGAAAGGAAAGGAAAGGGAGGAGGAGGAGGAGGAGGAGGAGGAGGAGGAGGAGGGAGGAGGAGGTGGAGGAGGGGAAGGGGGAGGGGGAGGGGAGGAGGAGGAGGAGGAGGAGGACCAGGGAGGAGGAGGAGGAGGAGGAGGAGGAGGAGGAGGAGGAGAGAGGAGGTGGAGGAGGAGGAAGAGGGGAGGGGAGGAGGGGAAGGGGGAGGGGGAGAGGACCAGGAGGAGGAGGAGGAGGAGGAGGAGAAGGAGGAGGAGGACGAGGAGGAGGAGGAGGAGGAGGTGGAGGAGGAGGAGGAGGAGAGAGGGAGGGAGGAGGAGGAGGGAGGAGGAGGGAGGAGGAGGAGGGAGGGAGGGAGGGAGGGAGGGGAGGGAGGAGGGGGAGGGAGGAGGAGGAGGAGGAGGGAGGAGGGAGGGGGGGGAGGAAGGGAGGGAGGGGGAGGAGGAGGAGGAGGAGGGAGGAGCAGGAGGAGGAGGAGGAGGAGGAGGAGGAGGGAGGGAGGTGGGCAGGAGGAGGAGGAGGATGAGGAGGAGGAGGATGAGGAGGAGGAGGAGGAGGAGGAGGAGGAGGAGGGGAGGAGGAGGAGGAGGAGGAGGAGGAGGAGAAGGAGGAGGAGGAGGACGGGTCGCCTAAGCCCTTCGGAAGAACCCTCCAAGGGGGACTGAACTCGGCTGACGCCGTGGATCCAAAACCACTGCGCCGCTGGGGCGATGCCGGGGCGCCCGACCGCTGAGCCTCCGCGAGGGCAACAGGCGCTAAGGCCCCCGCCAATGTCGCGGCCACCGCCCCGCTGCCTCCCCGCACCTGGCGGGCACGCGCGCCGCTGGAGGACCACCGGCCGGGGCCCCCGATCTCCGACGACCGAGGTTCGAGACGGGACGGCGACCACTATCACGACGACGACCACGACGATCACCACCACGACAAGGAGGAGCAGGATGAGGAGGAGGATGAGGAGGGGGGCAGGAGGAGGGGTAGGAGGAGGAGGAGGAGGAGGAGGAGGAGGAGGAGGAGGAGGAGGAGGAGGAGGAGGAGGAGGATGAGGAGGAGGAGGAGGAGGAGGAGGAGGAGGAGGAGGAGGGAGGAGGAGGGGTAGGAGGAGGAGGAGGAGGAGGAGGAGGAGGAGGAGGAGAGGGCTCGCGGCCCACCCCATTCTCGCTTCCCTCTTGGGCTCGCAGCCGACGGGAGGCCCGCAGAGCCCGCGACCCCGGGGGGGGGGCCTCCCCCTGGCCCTCCTCGGCCTGCTCCCCCCCGCGAGGCTCGCGCGCGGGGCGGCGGCTCCACGGGCAGTCGTCGGCGTCGTGGTCGTCGTCCTCGTCGTGGTCGTCCTCGTCCTCGTCCTCGTCCTCGTCGTCGTCGTCGTCGTCGTCGTCGTCGTCGTCGTCGTCGTTATCGTCGTTATCATCGTTATCATCGTCGTTATCGTCGTTATCGTCGTTATCGTCGTTATCGTCGTCGTCGTCGTCGTCGTCGCTTGCGGGGAATTGGGCACTGAGGTGTCCGCCGTCCGCGCGCCGCGGCCAGGGCCGCCGGGCAAATCCTTCTCCAGGGGGCGGCGCGAGGGCGCCGCCCTCTAGAGAAGGATCTCCGCCTCCTCCCCCTCCTCCTTCTCCTCCTCCTCTTCCTCCTCCTCCTCCTCCTCCTCCGCGGCCCGCGGCCGTGGGCCGCGGGCCGCGGATCTGCTGACCCGGGTCAGTCCAGGCCCGGGTCAGTCAGGCCTCGCAGACTCCTGCAAGATCCTGCACCCACCTGCACCCAAGCTCGGGTCGATGCGAAGCCCTGCAAGATCCTGCAGGATCCTGCACCCAAGCCCGGGTCAATGCGACCCTGGCCCTGCAGGATCCTGCAAGATCCGGCGCTCTGGCTGACCCCCGCTTGCATTGACCCCCGTCTCAAGGCTCCCGATCTCAGAAGGCTCGGAACCCCCCGGCCTTCTGAGAAATTTCCCGAGCTGTCCCGGAAGACACCCAAAACCCTTCAGGATGCGCGAGGGCTTCTGGGAAGCCCCGCCGCCTTCTGAGAAGGCCTTCTCCTTCTCGCTGCGCACCCTCGCTCGCCGCCGTCCCAATGCTTGGGAGGGGGCTTGACGATCGAGGCTCGAGGACGGAGAGGGCATCTGGGCGTCCGCAGCAATCGTGCCGCGCCTCGGGGAGGCTCGTAATCACGGCTGGACCCGCCTTGCAACTTTCGGCCCGGACTTTCAACACTATTGTTCCAGGGACACTCCGAGTTTCTCAACGAGCGTCGGGGGGTCACCCCCGCCGAAGGCGCTCCGACCCCCGTCGCGGCGCGACGACGAGACGAGGTTCACCTCCGTCGGATGGGTACCCCCCCACGTTTATTAAGACACCCAGATTACGTCTTCAGTCCCGATCGAAGACCTCCTCGCGTCGTGAACTAATCGCGACGTTCTCACTCATAACCCACCACTCTCGCGTCTGAGTCGCAAGCTGGAACGTCCTCGGGTCATTCGGGTCCTCCGTCCTCAGTCCTGCGGATTCTTTCAGGGGGGCACGGGGCGCTTCGAGCGCTCTTGGGACTTGTCGCACGACGAGGGTAGGTGTGAAATCCTCGTCGACCGTGGTAGAGTATCTAGGAATGAAAACCTAGTTTCATTCTCTTCAGTTGATACCATATGGATTATTGTCCTGTGAATGGATCGGGCTCAGCCTCCCGCCCGGCCGAATCATTATCTTTCCAGAAAAATCAACCTACGTTTAATATACCAACATTATGGACCAAGGTTTATTTCAGTCCGGAGTGTACTCTCAAACGGCACCCCCCAAACTCAATCATTATCACTCCAGAATAATGAGCCCGGGGTCAACATCCAGAGAAAATTATGAATCCGGGTTTATGATCTCCTGGAGATCATGAGCGGTGGTCAGTATTCCGACATGAAAAACCTGGTGGGGAGCCGGGGGGTCGGGGGGAATACTAATTATTATCATTCCGGAATTACGAAAACCGGGTTCATGATTACCGGGACATTATAAAACCCTGTAAATATTGCATTCTGAACCCAGGTAAATACGTTTTTCGGGTCGATGTCCCCAGAACATTATAAACCAAGTTTTAATGTTCCAGGGGAGGCATTATGAACCCTGGCCAATAATCCCAGAACGTTATAAACTCAGGTTCATATCTATTTGAAGTCCATCCTGCGCACGACTTTTTCGGAGCAGCGAGAGGCCAAAGACAGCCCAAGAGGGCACTGCGAGGCCCCTAAGACTGGCCAAGAGCGCCCCGAGTCGTCCGAAGATCAAGATCGCTGCAAGACGCCCAACATGGCTTCCAGACGGCCCGAGAGGCCTTTCAAGAGGGCCCCGAGTGGTTTGGAGCATTGCTTTTCTATCGGTTTTGGAAGATTTTAGCGTTCTCACTTTTCGGGCATGTCGACGCTCCAAGACGGCTCAAGAGGACCCCACGATCGCCCCAAGCTGACCTGACCCAAGAGGCGCCCAGGAGGGCCTTTCGACGACTCGAGAGGCCCCCAAGAGGCCCCCAACCCACAGGGGGAATACAACACGACGCTTCGAACCCTCCGCCCACAAACGACCTCCGAGACCGCCAGCAACCCCCCAGAAACTCCATGAGACCCGAAAGAAACACATCGGGCCCCGAGAGGCCCCAAATATCCAGGGAGGCGTCCGACAGGCCTCCCAAGATATCCCCCACGCAAAAACGCATCCATGGGGCCTCTGACCTGCAACCAAGGCACGGTGGCGGAAATATGCCGAAGTTTACTCGACCTGCTTGGCACGGGGACGGGAAACGCAACTTGCCTTGCATTGGCGCGGAATCGCTGGCTTGTCCGATCTTCCTCCTCTTATGTCCTTTCCTCCCTTCGCCCTTGTCGCGTCCTTGGGGGGTTTTGGGGTCCTCTTGGGCCGTCTTGAGGCTCTTCAAAGAAATTTCAAACCGGTGTTAGAAACATATGTTTTCAAATGCGATATTGGATATTGATACTGCGTTGAAAGATGTCCCAAACAAAACCGCCATGTTCACCAATCTCGAAGGTGCTCTTGGACCGCTTGGACCGTATGCTGTCCGAATGTCGTAATATCCCAATTCGGAGCGCCCGCTGTCTGACTGTCGCATTTTCCAAATTTGGACCGTCAACCTGTGCTCGGAACTGCCCAAAAGAGAATGCACAGAAACCATGTGTTTTCACCACTTGGACCTCCCGCTCTTCAGAACCACGCGTTCTCCCCGTCTGGACCGCCCGCTGTCCGAACGCAGTATCTTCCCGTTTGGACCCCGCTTTCCAGGACCATTCGTTTTCCACGTTTTGACATGAAGACTCTCTCGGGTCGTCTTGTGAGCGTTTTCTTTTTCGGCGCTTCGACATTGAGCGAAGAGGGGGACGGAGGGGGGGGTCTGGCTCTAGACCTCTGCTTAGTGCGACTGTTTGCGTCAGTGCGTCTTATGAGGGGAGGCCCCACCTGCTCGAAGCAGGCGCCCGAAACAGTGTGGTGTGAGCTATGTCGGGCAAGTTATGTGGTGCAATCTATCTGGTAGAAGCTAAGGTATTCATCTATTGAGTTGCAGCGATTCGATTGCCAAAGGGGGGGTGCAACGTGCGGAGCCCAGACGGGCGGCAACGAGGCGGCGACGGGGCGGCGGCGGCGGCCAGAAGGCGGCGGACACGGCAACGAAACCCAGATGGCAAGCGGCGACGAGGCGGCGATGGCGGCTAGAAAAGGCGGCGGTCTCGGCAACGGAACCCAGATGGCAAGCGGCGACGAGGCGGCGACGGTGGCTACAAGGCGGCGGACCCGGCAACCAAACCTAATTCCGTAGAACGAAATAAGAAATCCTAAGTGCAAACACTGTCTGGGGAGTCTACTGATATGTACGTATGTGTGTACACAGAGTGAGGGGGCCCGAACGTTCTTACATGACCCTGCGCGCGCGGCTGGAGTAGGGACGGCGACGCTGTGAGGGCACGCTGGGAGGGCACGCTAGGAGGGCACGCTGGGAGGGCACGCCGGGGGGGGCGCGCTGGGAGGGCACGTCAGGGGGGCGCGCTGGGAGAGTACGCTGGGAGGGCACGCTGGGAAGGCACGCCGGAAGGCACGCTGGAGGGCGCGCGGGGAGGGCACGCTGTAAGGGCGCACCGGGGAAGCGGTCTGCTTGAAGAAGCGCCTGGTCGTAGCTCCACTTTACCCTCCCCGCTCCGCTTCCCCCTCCCCGTCCTATCCCTCCTGGCACCCTCACCCTTATCCGCAACGGTGGGGTGCTTAGTATGGATCCCTGCCCAAGCAGTGCATGCCCTGAGCGGTTCTCGCTTGCCCTCTAGCGAACTGGGCCCGTCTGCCGCCCGAGGCCCCGATGCCGTCCGTCGCCGCACCATTCTTTGGTTACTCCGACAGCTGGACCCCGCATGATGCTCTTCTCGGTTGGGCTGAACGTAATTCCATTCGTCGTTCCTGTGATTGCAGCGGCTCTCTTCCTGTCTTCTCTGCGCCATTCAGCGAACTTGTGTCTTCTCTCTGCTGAAATCCCTGATTCCCCTGCCCGGGCGGCCTACGACTGGCAGCCAGCCAGGAACATTGTCGACCACCATGACCCCCCCCCCACCATCACTGCCAAAAGACATACGAAACAAACACACTCTGCCTCCAAATTCGGAGCATGCGCAGCCATCCCGATGCGCCCCCTCCGCCCCTGCCTGAAAACAATACAAACTATCATTCGAGGCAAAGTTTTGAGTCACATTCGTGAGGCCCGTGAGCAGCTGTCTTGTTTTTGACAGGGACGGCGGCGGTGTCAGCATATTGCCTGGTGCGCGCAGGGCCACC